GGGGATATTTGTCTCGGCCGAACCAAGCCCCAACGGTGTTATCGCGGCCTCGCCCCGGGGGCCCAGCTGGACGTCGTGCGTGTCTTTGACGCCGCAGGGGTGACCCGCCAGCGGTACATCCTCGCCGCACTGCGGGGCCTCCAGGCCGCGGTCGTGCGGGACCCCAACCGTGGCCGTGTCCTCTGCCTCTGCTTCGGGAGAGAAGTCTTTCGGCGAAATGGAGCGATCGCGCGGGAGATTCGCGCGCTGGCGACCGCCGGGGTGGTGGTGGTGGTGGCCGCGGGAAACGAAGGAGGGGGGTTGGGGGAAATCCTAAGCCCTGGTGACTTGCCGGAGGTCTTAACCGTGGGGTCGATATCCAGGAAACCGTTGATGCAACCTATGAGAAAGACCACACCAGGCGGTGATACGGGGAATCATACTGGGAATTCACGTGTATTTCGATCGGGTATGGTCTCGGCGTTCTCCAGTCGCGGTCCTACAACAACGGAGCTGCCTTTAGGGGCGGGGCGCATGAAGCCGGAGGTGGTGGCGGTGGGGGAACGCGTTTGCGCTTTAGAGGCTGTACGAATGGGGAGGAACGGTGGGGAGTTCACGACAGATTTTCACCCGGCTTCGAAACGCGAAGAAATAACCGCCCAAACGTCTATAAGGACCCCCAACCACGCGGTGGATGACGGAGCTGCTTTCGATACTGCGGGCGAGACGTGGGCGGAGTCTTGGACGCTAGTGAGCAACCGCTCCGGTACAAGCATTGCCGCTGCCCTCGTCGCAGGTGCTGTGGTGTTATGCATTGAAGCACTTCAGCAACCAAACCTCGTATCACATCCAACACCATCTTTACCCACTAAAATAAATATCGCGCTAATCAAAGAGATTCTTATCAAAACTGCTAGACGCCTTACACCACCGGCAATGAAGCAAGTGAGGGAAAAAGAAGGTGCATGGTACTTCGCTACACGACGCAATCTTTTCAGGAGCAATTCATCTACTGCCCCCGTTAACGCCGGGGATGCTCTTATGCGTACGTACACCGATTACCTCCATCTGTTACAGTATAGCATGGTAGCTCAAGGAGCGGGTGAAATTCAACCCGACCGCGCTCTCGTCCTAATCGAGGCGCGTACTAAGCGATTCCAGCGAGAAGCGAATGACGCAACTTCACGAGAGGTGGAAAGAGATCGCAAATCTGCGCAAGATCACCATCGTCATGATGATGATGATGAGCATCATAACGATGGTGAGTTGTCTGCTGCGGAACGTCTTACTCTCGCTGGATGGGTGGTTTTCCCGCCGCGGCTAGACGTGCAAACCAATGACTTTTGTAAGTATGGAAACTGTCAAGCTGAGAGAGCCGATTGTCTCTACCACTGGCCGCACTGCGAACAGGCGCTCTATCTCGGCGCGGCGCCGAAAGTATTTAATCTGACGCTGCACGTCGCCGGCTGCGCAAATGCTACCCTATTGCAATGCAACGATAGCAATATCAACAGCAAAGAAGAAAAACGAGAGAAAATGCAATCGAAGGTGGATAATGATGTCTCTCGTTTCAAAGGGCACTTTGAATCTGAGGCTTTGGAGCGTCGTGGATGGAGCTACACTATTGATGATGTGGTTGGCTATAAAGCTGTAGATGGGGGATTTTGCGATCCTTTTCATCGTGATCATGGTGGCAAGGAAGAAAAACGAAATTGTTATAGAACGTTCTCGCTAAATCATTCGATTTTACAGTCTTCTTTAGCGATCCCTAAGCTTAATATTCAGGTGGATGCCACAAGGAAGCTGCACGCTCACACGGGCACCGTATCTGTTATGATTCAAGCATTCCTTCCTAATCGCAGCGAATGCCAGGATAACAAAAACAGCGAGAATCGTAAATCTCCCCCTAACTCTGAGTGTGGGGATAATATTGTTGGCATCAGAAGGAAGCAAAGCAATTCCATTCTTCCGAATCCATACGTGCAAATTGATATGCGTGGGAAAATTATGCTCGTTTACTCGTGCAGTAAGGCACCCTGCGCGCTCGCTATGAAAGCGCGAACCCCTTTTCTAACACACATCACCATTCCATTTGTCGTTTCCATCAAGACTAAATCGCCTTCACGTTTGCGACGTCTGATTATCGATACTTCACATCTGCGGTTGAATTCTTTAGATTATTCGTCGTCGTCATCCTCAACCTTTTCACAAGGTAATTCATTTTCAACCGTTGGGGGTGATGGAAATTTCTACAAGGCGGGGGGTGGTTTTACCAGGGCTTCATCGGCTTCCCGTGCGAACCCTAGACCTTTTGTTAATCATCCACACGCAAATCTCGCTTTGCTCTTTCTCTTTTTAACCCGAGAGCTGGGATTTTATGTGGATTTCTTCTCCATTTTGATCCCACAGTCCTTTTCCTCATCGAGCTTGGAATGTAAGCGCGAAGGTGAAATGGCTTGGATGACAGATTACCTTTCTTCCGTGGGCACCCTGCTAATCGCGCACCAGTGGCTGCCGATGCTGCCTTCTGTACGACGTCTTATCACCTCGGCGATTCGGTCTGATACCAATCGTGGTGGTTTAAACGTAATTTTAATTACCGACTGGATGAACCCTCCAGCCGCGACGCATTTTTTTCGAAGCTCTGACGAGCATAAGGCAAGCAAAGATATGAATAAGACTAGTCCAGCTTTTTCTATTTTCGAAACAAGACAGAACTACGCTCCCATATCTGAAGAGGTGAGCAGCGATCCAGACTTTTTTTCTAAGCTGTGTTCTATAGTTGTTACGGCTGAGGCTTGTTGTGGTAATGCCTCTGAACAACGTTCTTTCCACCCGATCATGCCATCTTCACCCGTTACTGGTGAGTGTTCAACGTGTGATTGCGGTTTGAAAAGCTCCCGCGTTTTCTCCCTCAACCGTTGGGTGAAGGAGTTGATCCATAAAGATACGGGAGCCCGAGATAAAAATCAATCCAACCCATGTCATAATCGAGAAAAGTGCCCCCTAATACCCCACACCGCAATGATCCCCGAACTTAGCGAGGTGGATGTGCGTCCTGGGTTGTGGATGACATCACTCGATTTGCGCCCGCCATTCCCTTGTGGTGGGGTTCAAAAAGGCTTTAGAGGGCGACGGGAGGCTGCTCATGCTCCGGAGCGGTGGCGCTCTATTGGCGAATTCCGCGCGGGAGGGATTCTTCGTTTGGTGAGCAATCCCATCACGCCCGGCAGCGCGCCTGACAAACTCACCGAACCCCTACAACCCGCCGCGTATGATTTACTCCTCTGTGGTGGCTACGATCCCTGGAAAAAGTCGCGACAGCCGTGGGGCAAACGCGAATTCTCCGGAAAAGAACCTCCTCCCCCCATTTCTTCATCTCAAGGGACGATTGGAATCTTGTCGTTCCCTTCGTTTTCTTATTCTGCGGGGGAGGTAGGGTTTATGACGGATAGCTATTGCCTCTCCGCCTCCACGCCGAAGGTTCAACGACTGTTCACGCAACTCCTTCAGGTTTATGTGGCCCATCACGTGGATTTTGCCGAACTTCACGACGAAGGCCTTTACTTTTTTAACCCGCAGAACGACCTGATTCGACGCCTGCATCAGTCCGAAGGCGTTCAATCCACCACCTGTCTGGAGCTCCTTAAAGAACTTTTTTACGCCGTATTAGCGAAGCATCACGGGTGGTTTTCTCCAGTCCGTGAAGGTAATCCTGTGGGAGCGCGGGCAGGGGTGTATCCACCCCCCTGCCGGGTGGCGGTTGGGATGTTTGATCATGCTTTTCTCGATAAAAAGCGCCTCGATGAAAATACGCAAAAACAAGATGTGGATGAAGAAGAATTATCCACCCCTAATCGATCTCACGCCTTTCTGGAGGAGACCTTCCCGTACGAGGAGGTGGAGCTGATGCATCACATTCTTCAGAGCTCGTCATCAGATCAGATGCAGGTGGGGATTCTTGTCAATTCGATGTTGCATCGATCCCCTTTTGTGCGTTTCACGCAGATGAGCTTTGCGGGTGAGATCCCATCTTGTGATCGGGATGTTTCCGTGGAGGGGAGTGTGGGCAACCCTCGCGAGGAATTCTCACGATCTTCTTTATTAAGCACCGCACGTGAGGAGGAGGAGGAGTTTCTACAACATTTAGGAACCCCCTACAACGACGATCCCGCCGCGGCAGTCCTTTCTTCGCCCGCTCGAAACGCAAATCAGGGAGGGGGCGTTGACTCCTGTGGCCGGCTTCCTCCCACCGCATTCTTGGAAAGAAATCCAGAATGGGGGTTGGGATTGAAAAGGATGGCAGAAAAAGCAGGATTTCGCGTCGTGGGGGCTTTCCTGCTAGTGATTTTCATCGCCTTTTTCGTTCGAGGAGGTCGGTTCTGCGCGGGGATGCGGCGACGACCGCCATCCCCCACGCCGCGGCGGGTGGCGACCATTTAAACGGAGAAAAAGGACCCCTAAAGGCGAATAGTTGGTACACGTGTGGTTTCTTTGTTATTATTATTACCATTATTTTTATTTTATTATTATCCAGAAGGTGTGATGATAAGCAAACCATTGTGTATGGTTAACTATTTAGGTCAGAAAAACTCTTAATCACTGGGGAAATAGACATCATCCTAGCAGAGATGAATGTGAGGCGATCATCTTCTTGGAAATGGTAGAAACCCAATACCCTCCCTCGTTGTTCCCTTGCTTTTGGTTTACCGCATTGTTTTGCCATTAGTATTATTCTATTTTTAAAACTTTTAGAATACCCTCTAACCTTCGCCGCCTGATTCTCATTTCAGTCGCTTCCGAATCCACCTTACTTTTGGATTCTTCGGGTCGATCGAGCAACCCATACGAGACGAAAAAACTTCCCTTTTCTTCCACATTCCCTCCCCAAAGGGTTCTTCTTCGATGAAGGTGGATAAACCGCGGATTAAGAAGTCCTCCAGCCGGGGTAAAATCCCTTACGGGAGGCATCGATATCCTCTCGATGCGAATCATAGCAGCCCGACGGGGGTCGGGATCGCGCCCGCCGCCTACGCGCACGCCGCGCGTCGTCATCGGGAGGATCTCGCGCGGCGGCAAAACGGGACGCGGCTCGCGCGTTTTTTTTCCCGCGTTTATCAAAAAGTAGCGGGCGGGGGATCGACCGAAACGGTGGGGCCCCCACCGCTTTCCCCAGGGGATGTCATTCGTGATCTCCCGTTTTTCACGCAGGACTCGGAGGTGCAGTTTTTTTCCACCCATCCCAGCCTCCTGGAAGAGGTGTTTGGGCTCTCGCACGGGCAGCCGATGCGGTTTCGCGCGGGCATGTGGGAGGGGAAGTCGGCGGTCGTCGTGGGCGCGCGCGGGGCGGAGTTGTGGGTGGTCCTCGAGGGTGAAACCTACGCCCGACGGATTGCGATTCCCCACCCCGCGAGCGATCCACCCCGCGCGCGACATCTTCAGCATCATCCCCGTCAAGACGAGGACGACGATGCCCCCCAAAACGACACCAACCCCTCCGAAGGCGAGGACGACGGAGGGGAAGGGAGTAGCCCGCGCGCGAGATCGGTTTTAGCACGGCTAACGCGTTACTACGGGATGGAGCTGGTGGATTCCGCGCCCGCCGCGGTTTCTCCCACCGAGGGGGCGGAAGGCGGGGCGCGAGGAGCCCCGTTATTCTCCCCTGCCACCGTCTTTTCCGCCGCGGTGATGGCGGAGGTCGAGCGGGAGGTTCGACGGCTTTACACTGCGGAGCAGCGGGAGTTTCTCCAACGCGCGCCCGACCTCTTCGTCGCCTTGGAAGATCTCGACCGCGAACTTCCCGAACTCCTCCCTACCCCAGCGGAAAGCATGGAACGAGAAGGGGAGGAGGAAGGGGAAGGCTGGGATTCCGATTTTGACGAACTTCGCGCGGGGAATCGCGATTCTCAGGGGGCTTCCACGGCATCGATGTATCATCTCGCGACAGGGGGGGTGCGAGGGGCGTCGCGTTTTCCACCCGCGCTCGTGTTGCTTTCGCCGCGGGTGTTGGTGCCGAGCGGAACGGTGGGGTGGGCGGGGGAGGGGACCGTTTTTGTCAACGCCGGCGGTGTCCACCACGCGCAGGCCTCCATTTCCGCATCCATCGCCGTCTGAAGGACTGGAAATAATGGAAAAAAAGAGGGAAGAGAGCGGAGATGCGATCAACGATGAAGGTTGTGATGATACAAGCCCACGCAATATATATATAGAGAGAGAATATACACATAGTATCATTATGATTCGTGGTTTTTGCCCTTGTGATAGTATATTCAATATCAGAATTTATATGCAAAGTGGATGAGGCGGATGGATTTGGTCATCCAAATCAAATGGTTTAAACTTCAATAACAAAAAATGAACACTGAAGAAGAACGGGTTTCATCGTTGATTATCTTTTTCCCCCGCCTCAGAATCCTTTTTACTTTAAATTCAATGGTTTCTCATTGGACGTAACGTTCACTTTAGTTAGCTTCAGTTTAGTCAGAAGGGTATGAAACGGCTTACTAGGCATGTCGTCGTGTTTGTTTTATTCGTTTATTTAATATTAGGAGTGATTTTCCTACGTTTTTGGTCCCCTGATGTCTTTGATCGGATTATCGGCTCTGCGGATGATGCGCATGAACAGGAAGTAGAGTCATGGAATTATGTGCTCAATCTTACCCATGAGCTTTCTATACTAACCGGAAAACGGGAAGATAAACTTAAGAAGTTGTATAAATTATACAATTCCCTGCCTGGATAGGATGACGTCATTGATGGAAGAACCCTTATTGATCCGGATTATTACGTCCCCCTCAATCTGAGGTGTCTCCCTGGCGCGCAACATCGTCTGGCGGCAGAACGAATCAGTCAACACATCAGAAATGACTCTTTCACACTTAGGGAAGAAATTAATAGCGCGATAGGTCCTGATAAGATCTATTCGGTTACGGAAGGCGGAGAGGTGAATTATTTATACCGCGAAGGAAACTCGACGCAATCGGGCTATCGATGGCAGCGTTTAGAGTCGACAACGGTGGAGCGGGTGGCACCCCTCCCGCCGGACGTTCCTCGTACACCGTCTAACCGTCAGACGCACTTGGATCCCGCCGACCTCGCTACGATCCACCCTTCCCTTCGTGATAAGGTGGAATGGGGTGAGGTCGATTATTTTGATCTTCCGCAACGTCGGGCTACACGCCCTCCAACTTATCGTTGGAAGTCATTCTACATTGTTCTGAATCTTTTCAACAATGAAGACTTGTTACCCTTCCTGACCGAGGCCTTGGTGGCGTTCATCGAGGACGAGCTCGCCCCGTTCTTTGAGGTTCGCACCTCGGTCGTCGTGGTGATCTATGCCAGCATATCAGAGGATTTGACGGGTCCCTTGATTAGGTCTTTGCTCAATCCTTATTTGCAAAAAGCGGGCGTTGAGGTGATCTACGCCACCGTGGGTGGGAGTTGTCTGGGTTACGTGGAGCGGCAGCCCTTCCACGAACGCATTGAATGGCTGCAGTGCGTTCGAAACAAGGCGATGCAGCCGCTGCAGGAGCTCGGTATGAATATCTTTGTGAGAAAGAACTCCACGAGCACCTCCTTTGCTAATCCCAACACTTTTGCTGAGGATGGCGTGGTGTTTAATCATATCGATCTGGATGACGCATTAGGCAAGCCCAGAAGCGGTTCGCTTGATGAGGACGATTTGGTTGTTTTATTTCTGAACGGCATTTTCTTCCGCCCGAGCGACCTTACCCGGTTGTGGAGACCGAGCCAGAGGCTCAGATGGCTACCCAAATACCCCCCGACGGCGATATTATGAAGCCAGCTAACGTCGATGTGAGTCGATATCGTTCGAAGGACCCTATGATGAAGCTGAATCACTCAAGGAATCCCCGCCCACTTCATCCCGGTAACGTGGGACCCTCATCGCGGGATCCCCGTGGTTCGTTTGATATCGCGTGTGGGATGGATTTTTATAATCTTTTTTACGACACCTGGGTGGCTCGGGATCACCTCGGGGGCAACTTTCTCCCTTACATGCCGTACTCTGACAATCCAACGATGCGGAGTGCGATCGCCCGCATCCTATCGGGGGCCTCCTCCGAAGGCGCGGAAAAGAGCACCGGCGTGTTTGTTAAGTCCTGCTGGAATGGTCTGGGGGCAATCCGTGGTCGCCTTTTTCTTCCCCAACGCGGTTTGGGGGTTCTCTCCGAAAAGGCGGCGTCTCCTCCTCGGATCCCGCCCACAGACTCGGTCTCGGCGACTTCTGAAGTCGAGCTCAACGAACCAAAGGGACCTGATGAGGCCTCCGCTTTGCGTGCCGCGAAGACGTCTCTTTCCCCTCCCGCAGACGCCCCCTCGGTGGGGGAAATCGACTCTCTGGCGACGCTGCTGAATCCACTTTTGACGTTCGCCCCTCAGGCGAAGTCCCCGCTCGAGCAGGACCTCTTCTTTTACACGCCTAGGCGCCTTCTTTGCCGCGTTCTTCGCTGTGATGGCGGCGATGCGCAGGGGTTCCCCGCGTATTCCACCCCGTGGTGGGAGTTCCACCTCAACGCCTATCTCAATGAAGGGACGGCCCCTCAAGACCTTCCGCGTGATATCGACCATCCGCTGATGGCGAGTCGAGAGGATTCGTTTATTCCGCCTTTTAGACTCAAAGTCCTGCAGGTGTATGAGCATGGGCTATGCCTAAAGGTGCCTTATATCACAGACGCCCTGTCGAGATCGCCCCTCCTGCAATCCTTTCGGATGCCCTCTGGTGTTATTTTTGATCGTATCGGGAAGAGCTATAGCGAGGCCCCGGGCAGTCGATAGGGTGTCGACGCAAATGAAACGAAATTTATGATGGAACTTGAAAATCACTATGAGCGTATTCTAACGCATCGCCTTGCCATCATTCGTCAGCTATGGCATGACGCTTATGCAATGATCCGAAAGTTGTACGATAAAAGCAAGTTTGCAGCGGCAAAAAATAAAAAAAACAGAGGCAAAACATCAAAGATCTTCAAGCGGAGCTGCATGCACACGTCGCAAGACGAGTTACTCAGCTGCAAAACCGTACCTCCATGCAACCCAGACAATATCAAGAGAATCCAAAGCGCTTTGATCAGGATTCGGCCCGCGGGGAAGTGGCAGGTTTATTTCACTGGATTGAGTTGCTGTTCAAGGTTATCCCGGTGAATCTGGGTGCCCTGTCCAACGAGGGTCAGATGAATTCGACTCTGAAACCGAAGGTTCAGTACGTTCCTAAACAACAGCTTAGTGACTCATATTCCAACTTTCCCATCTCACGAGATTTTTCTTCCATGGATCGGCGATACGTACTGAATGATGCGGCATACTACAAAGCCCGAAATCCCACCCTACACTTCTGTCACTCCCTCATACCATCTTTCGGGGCCACCATCCGAGAAAAAGGTTACCAAGTTCGCGATGGAGTATGTCTTTCTTCCGAGTGTGTACTTTTGTGTGTAGATATCATGCATGCCACGATACTGCGTGAGGGTCGCACACCAGTCATTCTCATGAACCCGCTGGTTCAGGTAGCTTATGAAAAGTCTCACTTTGATCGCCTTACCCGCACGCGTCTCTACACATCACCCACCTTGTTTTACTTCTCCACGTGGCTGAGCGATGCCCGACAGGTCTGGCAGCGAATCAAAAGGTGGCTCTTTCATCCGTTGAAGCACTCCCTCCCATCAGGAGATGTCGTCATGGAGAAATTCAAACTTGCGCGTTCAGAACGCACTCCTCTCGCGTTCGAACAAACACCTGAGAAACCAAATAATACCATTCATGCAGAGGGCAACCCAATCTCAGTGATCTCCGCTATCGATGACGTGTTGGATGATACTCCGACGTGCGATTTTTACAAGGGCCCCCTCCCTGTTGTGATCGGACACAGCGGATGGAATGGGTCGGACAAGCGGTGGGCTGAAATTGATTTCGTGAGGTATACCTCCATGATGTGTAATGGCTACTCAAGCAATGAATTAGAAATCTTATCAACCTGGCTGTATTGGATTGGAATCACCCTCGCTATCGTGCTGCAGTTAGTATTTCTTTCTAGGGATGTGAACACGAGGATTCAGGTGAAATTTGTTCGCTTTCTCAGTAAATTTGACTGCAATGGAGAAGAATCCCGGAATCCTTCTGCAGAGGAGATGCCCCCGCTAGACTGGAGGGATGCCTTTCTGTTATTAGACTCGGATCATGCACTGGCGACGCACTCGCCAAATTTATCCCCGCGAAATTCTCCACTGAAACTTTCAAAAGGCTCTCGTAGTGCGTTCATCGCCCCCATCGATTCTTTGGAACTGCAGAAAAAATACCAACCACGCGGGACGAGGCTTGTGATTCCCTACACCATCAACAACTTAAGCCTTAATACATTCGAGATCTTTGCTTGTAAGGCCCTTACTACTGAGAAACGACTCTGGATGAGGGTATATGGCGCTCTTGTAACACGATCGCTGGGCTCCACCTTCAGGCCTCGTGCAGCGCTACGCCGGTGGTGCAGGCGGCTAAGGGAAGTGGACCAAGCATATGGCGTGCACTTTCTCTGTTACCGTATCTCGAATCTGTACAGGGTAAACAGAATGATTCAGATACTTCAGCGGGGAATGCGTAAATTAGTATCTAAATCAAGACTATTTTTTCGTAATCGAAGGAATTTGCGAAAATTTACCGATCTCCTTTAGTTTATTGTGTCTCGAACATTATAGAGGATCGGACATGGACATTGTTTGAATCCTAAATTTGTTTTTTATTAGAAGCAATCTTGTTATTGATGAAATGGTAACATTGCTTATTATGTTTTTTGTTATTTTTTAATAATTTATAGCCTTTTCGATTTGGTAGTGTCAATTTGTGCTGAAGACATAGAATTGGGGTTTTTACAAAAGTACAAAAGTTTACTATAGCATTAAGACTGTAATAAAAAAAAAATCTACCCTATCTGTGCACATAATTAAATGTAGGAAAAGTAGCCGCTTCCATCTTTTTCCTAGCGGTGATGCTCTTTTCGTGGTCAGGCCTCAAAGGATGGATGGGTTCCTCCTCACAGATCTCGAAACTATTTTATCTTCTTCATATTCGAGTTTTTTTTTGCATTGTGCTGTTCTCAAGAAACCCCTTTTGAGCGCAAGAATAAACAAAGCCATTCCACACCATGCGGCACCGACAATCCAACCCGAAGTCCAATAGCAACCAACCCGTTCCAGATCTCATTCAGCGCGACGTCCTTAGCTCCTCGGAGCAGGATAAGGTCCTCGTCTACTTTGCCAATAGCCTCCGGACGAGTGCGATGCTGTTGCGGGTTTTGGCCTGCCTGCACTCTTTCTTGGCTTTCGTCTACACCGGCTTCCTCTTCTCCGGCACCGTCTTCGCCTCCACGGCGTTGGGGCCGGAGGAGCGGGAAAGACTAAGCCGCCTTCTCAATGTCACTACCCTGATGAAAGCGACCCCTCCGTCCATCGCAACGGGAAATTCAAACGCTCCTCATCCCTCTCGTTTGGATCAACAGACCGCCCTGCAAGGGTTAATCAACGGGGTGACGACGTCGTGGGGGTCGATGACAATCCCGTTAAGCGTCTTCTGCACCCTGATCTCGATTTTTCTCCTCCTCCTCGGGGGGTATGGGTGTTGGAAGGCGTGCTTGGCGCTGCGCGTGAGCACGGAGGAGCTTCTGCGGATGGCGCCAGGGAACCCGCACGAGGAGGTGAGAGTTGATGCCTCGAAAGTTCCGCGACCTTGGGGGGGGGCGGGGCGTCGTTCCTGGAATCCTAAGAGCCCGTATTTCCAGTACGGCATTTCCATTTGTGCGTCCATCCAGGCTCTGGTATGGGCGTTTGCTATGATGAAAGCAAACCACGCGACAAGGGAGCTGTACGGTAGAATCGATCCATCTCTCGCGCCAAAGCTGTGGTTTGGTATTGCGGGTAGTTTTACGGAAATTATTACTGTTTTTTGGCAACCTTTGTTTCATTGGTTCATAGGCTCCATGATTCAGTCCATGTTTACTACGCGGGAGGACCTATTTTCCTTGTCTAAGGCACGGTATGTTTTTGAAAAGCTGTGAGACTACAGACGTTTATTTTACTTTCATAATCTTTTGCTTATAGTCTTGTATATTATGTTGGATAGCACCAAATGTGGGCGACTGTGCAAAGAGTAACAGGGGACAGGAAAATCTGAGCCAAACGACTCAAATTTATCTAACTCCTCCACGCAGCCTTCACTTTAGGAAAGGTGAATTTGGCTTATTATGTGATTTACGAAACAAAAAAGCTGGCATGAAAATAAAAAGGCCTGTTACTGTAGTTGACAGAAACGAGTATTATTGTGGAGACTTATGCGTCAACTCCTTTTTTTCCAAGCTATTATGTAACCATTTCCATCTGCCGTCACCCAACTTTTATTTATTTTTGCAAAAATTCAGGGAGTAAACGAAAAGGGCAAACATGCCGCCAAAAGATCGTCAGAGAAAAAAAAGGCAGCGTGGGGAATCACAGGGCGCCTCTCAACGGTCTCAATCAAGTACACATCGAGGATCGCGGTCCGACAAAAAGAAGAAGATCGACAACACTAGCCGTCGGAAGACACAAGCCAAGTCTGTAAAGGGTGCACCCCCAGAAACGAATGAAAAGTACGTCGTGATTATTCAAAACGTCGAGAATGATTTCACCAAGGTGCACCAGTACAATTTGCCCGCCTATTGCCACTTAGTACCCGAGCTGAATCAGGCGAATCTAAATCTTCCCGGTGCTCGAGGAGGCCGTCTTCAGTCTGGGAAAACCAACACGGCAGAGGGGGAAGCGGAGACCTTGCAAAATACAGGAGAGAAAGGTGGAAAGGACCCCAGTAGCGACTCGATGAGTGGTGAGGGAAAGTGCACTTACAGCCTTCTCTGCAGGAGCGAGACCCGATCCGCGGAGCTGACGGTTCGGGGGGCGGCGGATGCCTCTATCCACACCATTTTTGCCTCCCCCCACACCGCCTCCACCTCAACAAAACGCCCAGGAAAAGCCGCGGAGGGGACCTCGAAATCGACGGATCGTTCTCAAACTCCCCGTTCCCTTGACGAGGGGCTGGAGATCACGGAAGAGACGTCTCGTGGGCCTGGGGCTGGAACCGCTCGTGGGGTGTTCTCCTCGCTGGAGGAGATGGCGAAGGGGTTATGCCATCGGCCCTACTTCACCCACCCCCCCCGTTTCCACGTGAACCTCCCGGGCAGGGAATCTGGGGAGGTGCTTCTCTCGGAGCCCGGAAAGCGACGCCAAGCTAAAGAAAAGGGTTCTGACGGGGAAGAAAAAATAGCGAAAACTCCCAAGGAAAAGGAAGGGGCCGTGTGGGTTAGGCAGTTTCCCAGGCATCAGCGCGATCTGGTTTCCGCCGTGGCGGTTGTTCTGGCAGGTTGGGGTGTGAAGGACTTGCGACGGCATCTGCGGGATCTTCCCGGGTTTCTTTCCTGTTGGCGGCTCTACGCGAAACACTTTCGGGTCGTCTTTCGTGATCAGGAAACGCTCTTCAAGGCCAAGCAGTTATTGGATCAGTTCCACGTTGAGGGCAATGTGCGCGTGGAGATGAAGCTTTCCGACATCCATTCGCGCTCCTTCGCCGAGTTTATCACACAGCAGGAACAGGAAACGGCGGCAGTGTATGGATAAGGTCTACGTGGAAAAAGTTTTTTGCTTGAAATCGTGTGAGAAGTACATACCGATAGCTAAGCAAATTATTGCAGCACGGCTTACTGACTTAACACCCTTTCTGATGTGTAGGGATCGGAAGGAGAAGGTTCTGTTGACCCTTTGATTGTCGTTAAATGAAGGATGAAGTGAATTGAAGATGAATTTAGTCTTTTGTAACTCGTTTAAATTAATAAACTGAAAACACACTTTGGAGTCGTCGGATATCAAAGGAAAAGTACTTACATGAGGGTATCCCCATTCGTATATGCACGTATATGAAGGATCCTTTAGGAAACCTTTCATATATGCATATATATAGATTTTATAAATATCGATAGCTGGGAACTTGTGTTTGTGTCGTTTTTTGTTGTTATTGCATTCAACCTCTTCTTCTGTTTACCTTTTTTTATTTTTGTTCAGTAATCGGTATACATCTTCCGCAAAGCATCTACCGCATTGGAGAAACGGGATATACTCTATACGTGGAGTAGTAAAATTACAACCTTCGCTCCAAAAGTACGGGGAAATGGCGAGACGGGAACGTGTGCCGCGGCACAAGTCCTCAAGACGAAAGCGAAACAAGAATCCAAAGTTGTCTCCCTTTCAGTTAGAGCAAAAGCGGGCCCGGCTAGCGAATCAGGCGCCCACCCCAAAGACGATGGGAACCGATGAGGACATTCCACATAGCCAGCGGGGCGTATTTGAGTACTTGCAAGCCAAGCGTGCGCGTCTGGAAAAACGAAGGCAAGAGCGGCAACAACTTGAAGATGAAGAAAAACAAGGCACTAAGGCACCAAAGCAGTGCTCAAAGGAGACATTGCAAGAAGGCAGAGAGGCCGAAACAGGTGACAACGAGGATAATAATGTTGAAATTAGGGGCTCTTCGGAGAGCCTTGGTGATCAAAAGAGCGCTAAAGGATCTAGACGGACGCGATCGCAGGAAGATGCCTGTATCGATTCCCCTTCTCTGAAAAAGCGCAAAAAGGACTCCATGGCAACCTCGATGTCATCCGATCAAAATGTCTCGGACCTCAACAATACTCCTTCCCCCAATGGGGAAACCGAAACTGATAGCATAGGAACGGGTGGAAACCTTCAAAAGACAGAGCAGCGGCAAAAGAAAAAGACACGAACGGAAAATTCCAGCTCTGCAGTCTCTCTTAATCAAGAATTCTTAGCCTCTGTGGGAAACCCCATCAAAACGCAGCGCAGTCGTCATCCTCGTACCACAGATCCTGAGGACAATGATCAGCCGCGTACGGTTGAGGAAATCATTGCTCGCAAAAAGGAAAAGAAGCATCGTAAAAAGGCTGAAGCACGTCGTCAGCGTGTCGCGGAGCAAATCCAGAAAATGGAGGAGGAACTTTCACGTCTGGCTACCAAAAAGAGTCGCAAGAGGTCCTCCCACGAGAACTCGGACTTTAACCTGGCCTTTGAAAAGAAGCTCAAAGAGCTCCAGAAAGAGAAGAGTAAGGCCGCCAAAAGCAGCAACGACGGTGCAAACCCAACGTCCAAAAAGGGGCAAGCCAAAAAACGGAAAACGCTCACAGCTGATGTTGACCACAACGACGATTCGGATTTGACTTCCATTGGTAAGCCACACGAGGCGGGGAATAACTGTGACACAAACCCAGTTCATGACACAAACGGGACCGACTCCTCTGAGCGGAAACGGATTTCCTTTGATGACAGTGTGGTCGGGTTTACCGCGTCACCTCCGGCTGTGACACGGCGGCCGCGAGATTTCTTTGAGTTAATTGACATCCCAAAGTTCGGCGAGCGGGTGGAGGCGCCGCCGGTCTTTGAGGTAGTGCCTAATAAAGACGCCGCGGTGACACGGCTGGCACGCCGTTTGGAAGGAACGCGACCTCTTCGCGAAGGACGTCCGGTAAGGGGGCCTGCGCAGTACCGATTTGTTGCCGACCGTGAGGGCGGCGGGCTTGGGGAAGAGAAGCGGCTGGCGCGACTTGGGCTGGCCCCCGCAATTACCCACCGCATCGACAACACCAACGCCGGCGATCGGGTGTTGCCCCACCCTGGTCGTCCCAACGCAGGGGAGGATCCTAAGAAGAAGGAGATGGAGGCTCTTCGGGATTATGTTATGGCGACTTATCGCCAGAACAGACGGAACAACTTCCTGCAGAAGAAGGGGGTTGACATGAGTTACGCTTTTCCAAAGTTTTCAGGTTAGACGATGATGGAATGGCTAAAAAAGCTAATTGCTAAATATTTGCAAACGCATTTCATTAATAGTTTTGTTCGGTTAAGCATTGTTAATAAAAGGATAATGGGTCGGATGGGGATTCATCGAATTTTCGAAGCTAATTCCTCTGAATTGACTCGTTCGATTCAAAATGCTCCAGAATGAAAGCATCAGTAGAAGGGAACAATATGAGTATAATATAGCTGAGCCTGTGCCTCTATATTGATCAAAAGCTTTTTCTCATATATCCTTGCTCCTGTTTTTTTTTTGCTTATCTTCGAATGTGACACTTAGGAAAAAAAGACACCACACAAGGCACTGCGTACAATAGTTTCACCGATAGAAGGGACCTTTGGGTTGAAAAATACAGCCCTGCTTCAGTTACCATTTGTGCAGCTTATCCAGACAAACTTAATCAAGTTGGTTTTAGAGTTGTTTCCCAATTAAGATCGTGAGTTAGGATCGTTTATGTCGAGGTAAATCTTTTGAAGCGTTGTATTTTTTCTTCTTCTTTGAAATTAAAGACATCGTTTTTACCGTGTTTTTTCCAGAGCGCTGTAATCCTGACCAAGAGGTGGTTTTAAACCCTTTTATTATTTATTCCTTACGTGCTTGATGGAGCAGCGGTGGCATAGTGTAGTCATTGAAAATGACGAGGGCGATGATGTTTTCCTTAAAGCTGCTCCTCTCCTTCTGGAAGCCCTGCGGATTATAGAGTCTGCGAAGACCTTAACGGCTGCTGTGCAGCTTTCCCATCGTACCAATGAGCTATTCAGTGGATTCGAAACCGATGACAACACTTCACGTATCCGCTTTTCGAGTTCCTCATTCGGGAAGATTTGTCGAAGCATCGAGAAACTTCGTGCAAAACAGAAAATCATGTATCCCGTTCTGGATGTCATTTTATCAGCCTTTGTGCATGTCCAGCATTGTGACTCAGCGTTTTCAACTTCACCTACGACGGAGACAGGTCTCAAAGTGGCTGGAATCAATAGCGACTCCAAAGAACATTCCTTTTCGGTTTTGCCACCAGAAAAGGATAATATGACCGAGAATCCAGGCGAATGTGCTCGATTCCCGTTAGACCCTCGCGGCTATGCCTTACCAAATGAAATGCGCTCCCATAGAGGATTACGTCCCACACGACGAACACACGAGCCTCTTATTGTCTGCCACAAAAACGGGCTTATTTACCCGCAGCAAATGTTCCTTGACAGGGACCTTTTTGAGCACCCTACCCTGGACTACACCAACTTCCGGGAGTGCTTTGGCCGACTGAGCGACATTGCTGCCGACCCCAAACTCTTCACGGCCTGTGAGCCGCGCCTGCGAATTCTGAAGAGCCGATACGCCTTGTACAGCGCCTATAACGGCTCGCGCGAAGATCAGTGCGACTCGGTGATGGGTGGTGGGAGCGTCATGCGAGCCCCGAAGAGCGACATTCGTCGCCTGGAAACGTGTATCTCAGCCAGATCCCTTCTGAAGTTTATTGAGTCTATATGCCGGAGTGATCCGAATTATGTGGTAATTCATTCAGCTTCTGACAACAACAGCATATCTACCGACGGCGATGAAGGTTCTTCAAACAATGAGCCTCAAAAAAGAACTTCTTTAAATACGAAACGCAGTGAAGAACCTCCTAAGTCAGAAGAGCGGGGCTTAACCTGCAGCAAAAAGTCGTGTGTTAATGAATCCGATGCGGAGATGGGTAATTGGGAAGCGCGGAATCGCGTTGCTGAGGGTGAGATCACTGTGCGAGATCTCGTGATGCGTTTCTGTGGTGTTGAGGGAAAGCGAGGAGATGAGTTTCCTCTGAACCATGGTCGGCCTGCTGTAGACGTAATGTCTGGTGACGCAACGCGTGCCTTAACGCCGGAAGGGCTCTTCTTGACTCCGCAGTACGCACGAGCCATCAATGGCTCCTGGCCTGACTTGCATCACACTCCCATCGGGGAAAAGAAAATCCCTAGTGAAGCCCAATACGTGTATGAAAACTTGAGAAATTTTTTATCAATCAACAATGAAAATAAAGGGGATCTTTTTGCTAAATTTGTGGTACCCGCCCTATCACGGATCCTGCACACTCCGGGAAGTGAGTTTGATGCAATCGAGCTTGAAGTAACTGTCAACGGTTCTGAGCGTGGGGAGCTGGATCGCATTGCTGACTGGTGCGTTCGGAGTGGAATTCTGGAGGAAAATCGCATCTGCTTCAGTATTCACGTCACACAGGGAGCCTTCGCAACCCCAACCGAGGACTCTCCTCATCAAGATGAGGAATCGGCACCGTGGTGGTGGGTCATGTGTCAAGAGCACCTGAGCAAGACCGATAGAAACGATCTGTCTGGCAAGGCTGAAACCTTCCAAGACGTACTCCAGAATATTTTCGAACCTATTTGGGAAGCGCTGCTAGATCCTGAGTCGTATCCCAGCCGCGTCCGTTTTCTTCAGCGTCTGACTTCCTTTTCCATTAGCCTGGGCCACGCGTCAGCGGTGTTACAGGAGCTACCGGTAGTGTCAACCCCTTCTCAGTATCCCCTGCGTTCCTCTGACGCAGCCCCGTCCAATGCATTTGTAGCTTTTCACATTCAGCGCAACGTGCAACTATTGAACTGCTTCACCTGCGCGCACGAGTATTTCTATCGGACGCGCGACTCAAACGAGACGTCGACACACGGTGCCAGTAAGAGAAAGAAAGGAGGAGTTATGGAAAGTAGTAAAAAGCACGGCAATCACTACACGGACCAGGGCACGGCCGGATCCCCAGGCGATTTTCATTTTTGGAACGACACAAGGGAGAGATATGATAGTGAGTTTACATATTCGCATCATTTACCCTTTCATACTCTTTACCACCACCATGCACCTATTATTCCAGGCCCTCTGCGTCTTCGCCTCCACAGTAACGGCTCAAATAACAGCCGAACCATGTTCACAGAAAGCATCTTAGGGCTTTTGATAGCCGACGAGATCGTGAACCCGACTCAAGCTTTTGAGTGGGGACCGCTGACGTACCTATACTATCTCACTCAGCGACACCTCGTGCTCACCCCGTCGAGCAATCATCACAGCAACTCCACAATCAAAAATACTCTAACTGACAACGCGATCTTGCTGGCCATACGGGTTGGCCTGCACGTATCGATTTCTACCCTCAACCCTCTTTTTTTCTACCACACTGATGAGGCCCTAAACGAGGAGCTGCTGAATATTGGTAAGCACCTGGGTCTAGCGACCACCGACCTCACGGAGATGTGTCTGCGGTCGATGGAAAGTCGTATGCCCCACTTCCGTGGAAACTGCCACGTCGTGGATGGAGATGGAGTGAACAAAGGAAACCGAGACCACTTTCAATGTTTTCGGGAGGCTTTTTGGGGGGAGGCCTGGCCCCGCGTTGAGGCTCGGTATAACAACTTTCCCCTCACTCAAGTGAGTTCGTTGCGGCTCAATTTTCGTGATGCGGCATTGTGCCACGAGATGGATCTCTTGTGTCGTAAAGCCCTTCCTCAAGCACACACGGATCCTTCGTTCGAGGTGTCTTCGATGTCGTTTTCATCTCCAGCTCTGGCGACGGCACGAATCGGTAGAGCCTCTTTTCTTGATGATATTTCACTCTGCATGCACGAATCCCAAGTTGTGACGCGGTGGAATCGTCTGTATACGTTTTTCAACATCCCTTCCTCCTGCCTTTCTTCCGCTACAGAGGAGGAGTGGGATGGCAATCGAAAAGACTCTACAGCGCGTAAACATCGTCGTCATCAATCACATCATGAACACCTGGAGGCGGCCCTCCGATTTCCTCGCATCAAAATCATCGGTCCCAAAAACGAGAGTCCGAGTGACATCGCCAAAATGGTGGTGCATTGTATGGCGCTGAGGCAAAATTACCAGCAGTACGATGTGAGGCCGTCGTTGTCTTTCTACAGACAGGAGGCAGAGAAATCTGTGGATAAAAGAGGAGCTGGGAGTAGTGTATCTTGCGGTAAGTCTGATTCCTCTGGGAAAATGGGTGCCAATCCTGCAGCACCCCCCCAACCCACTTCCTATGCGATTCGTGACGGTGTTATAGACGTCTTGTTGGATAAAAGCAGCAGCCGAAGCTGTAACGAGAAGAGGGGAAGACAAAAAAATACAGCGGTCACGTCCTACAACACGCACCCATTTGTTCCACTTCCGACGTGGGCCACCTTTCAACAGCATGTGCTTCAGCTTCGCGCGCTTAGCAGCAACCACAGCGTGCAAGAGTTTTGTTCTAAGCGATTAGGAATGCTAGAATGCAAGTATAATCTACATATTGCACTGACCAAAGACGACGAAGAAGCTTACTTTGTCGAGATACCGTCAGGGGAGTATGAGGATGCGAATCTAACAACTGAGTGTCTCTCCTCGAATCCAAAATCTTCAGAGGGTGAAAAAATGTCCAATACGGCACTGGATGGTGCCGTTACAAGACACGCCACCCATTCGAATAGTGCGTCAAATAGCCTGCTCGTAAGGCGAGACTCTAAGGCAGACGTCTTTAACATCGTTAAGGTTGACGTGCACTGTCACATGGCTGGGGGCTTCACAGCTAAATCCCTTTTGTCGTTTTTAAAGCATAAGGTTCAGTTTAATGGAGATGATGTTATTGGGGTAGATGCCAAGACAGGTCTCGCTATCACGCTTGGGGAAATGTATCGTAAGGTAGTTGAAAAGCGTCTCGATCTTCTCTCCAGAGCAAATAACAGGGTTAGGGGAGCATCTCCGCATCGCCCACATCTTATGAGAGCCAATGAGGTGAACCCAGCGGAGTCTTTACAGAATCGAATCCAGGGCCTCACAATTGCGGCGCTTGACGTACAGGCCGGAAAGGCAACTTTCAACCGGTTCGATGAGTTCAACAGCCGCTACAGCCCGATGCGTGTTTCCGAGCTGCGCTCGCTACTACTTAAAACCGACAATTTCATGGGGGGGCGCTACTTTGCCGAGCTCATCCGAAGTGAGGTCTTTGACAAGAATGAGAGGGAGGGCAACATTTTTACGGAAAATCGTCTTTCCATTTACGGTCGTGACCACGGAGAGTGGATGCGTCTGGCGAAGTGGGCTTTCATTCACGGCATGGCGCACCACACCAACCGCTGGATGATTCAAATTCCTCGTCTTTTCAATTTATATCGACTTAGTGGTGTGTTAAGAAATTTTGAAGAGATGCTTTGGAATATCTTCAATCCCCTCTGGGAGGCCTCTCTCCACCCGGAGAAGCATCCGTTACTACACTATTTTCTTCAACACGTCTCAGGCTTCGATAGTGTTGACGATGAGAGCAGCCTGGAGTCAGGCGAGATGGTCTTTTTACCTCCGGCCCAGTGGACACGTGCTGAGAACCCGCCCTTCGCGTATTACATGTACTACATGTGGGCCAACATCACCACGCTTAACCGGTTTCGAGCTTCAAAGGGATTGTGCACGTTCGATTTCAGACCTCATGCCGGAGAAAGTGGAGATCCAGATCACATGGCAGATGTCTTTTTTCTCGCAAATGGAATCGGGCATGGAATCAACCTCATGAAGCGGCCGGTCCTGCGGTACTTGTATTACCTCACCCAGATTCCTCTTGCGATTGTGCCTTTGTCCAACAACGCGCTCTTTTGCAAATATTCTGACAATCCATTTCCCACTTTCTTCCGCCAGGGCCTGAACGTCTCGTTGGGCACCGACGGGGCACTGATGTTCCACAACACAGAGCAACCCCTCCTAGAGGAATACACGACTGCCCAGAACGTTTGGTCCCTTTCTGCTGCGGATGTTTGTGAGATTGCAAAGCGAAGTGTGCTCATGTCCGGGTTTTCACCTAGGATGAAAGCTCAGTGGCTAGGCGACCGATTTTTCCTGCACAGTGTTGTTGGCAATGATGTGGAGAAGTCGCATCTGCCGATGACGCGCTGCGCGCTACGCTATGATGTCTACATGGATGAGATCTCATACCTTGAGGCACGTGCTGCGATGGATGTCGTTAATAGGGCGATGTTCACACCTGCAGAGGAAGATTTGATCCTAATGGACACCATGGGCTGCTCGCGAGTCGAGGCTTTAAGTCAGTGCCTTTTGGGATGCCCCACTTCCATTGATTGTCAGTCTTGCGAGAGAAACACAAAACACGAGAAAAGCTCGGCACACAGCCAGGGCAACGTGCCTGAAATTGTATCGTCTCGAAGATCTTCTCACATTTCGCAGTGCGCTAGTGGTTCTTCCATTCTTGCACAATCTCAGTTATGAGAAAAACAGAAGGCTGAATACATGGACTAAGGTAATACATATTATTTAAGGTAGAAAAGAGATTGCGTTTCTAAAATATACTTCTTTACAATGGGCAACTTAAGTCATCACCAATCTTAAGCGTGCTAAAACGAAAAAAAAATCTATATATATCAGCGTTTTATAATGCACTGGATTGTTTTGCTTAACTTCTTGATGTTATCTTGTTTAGGTACCTTGTTGAGTGTATGTGAATGCATTGTGGTCTACGATTGAAGAATATGTCTTCACTTTTCTTTTCTTTTTACTGCTAAAAAAAAGGGAGCGAGGGCTCCGTGCATAGATTTTTGTATACCATTACGTGTTATCTTTACTCCTCTCACTTTCGCTTCCATTTGTTATTCCTTCCCTTGGATCTATTGCGTTACCTTCGATCAAAGACTCCACAAAGGCCAGGTACACATTTTTATACCATATAACTTTTATACCTGACCACATTTTCGCAATCTCCATAATCGAGTATTTCGTTGTTTCTTTTTTCTCATAACTATTAGGGTATTATACTACGCCAAAAGAAGGTAAATGATGAGGAGGGGTATCCTATCGGCTGCAGTAAAGATATGGCCTCGAGAAGCGGTCGCGAAAAATATCATGAGCGGCTTCTCAGCGTTAACGGTCTCGGCAGCTTCGCTATCCAGCGTATCAGGCGAGGGTAGCGGTAACGCAAACAACGCCAAGGACGAGCCGGTAGGTATTAAGCCCTCGATAAAGGTAGTCCCGGTGGCTTCGGATCCAATCACCTCGGGAAGGCTTCCGTCCATCGTGAAAAAGCCCTTGGTGGCGAATAGCGAGAGTAAACCGAACAACGGTGGCGGCGACAGCTGTAAGGGGCAAATTCCATTCCCTAAGGCGCACTCCAGCCGGTTCGTACGTCAGGGTAAGGGTTCTCATTTGAACTTCACCAGCCCCTCCGGAGAGGCGGCGACGGGCCTGGCAGGGGTAGTGACGGTAGACTCCGAGTCGGGATCCGATCAAGAGGTCGTCCACTCATTTACCCGCTTCATGGAGGAGATTGGTGGGTGCTCGGCGGAGGAGCTTCTCGCCGGGGGTAAGCAGGCATACTATAGCATCGCCGTTCTCATCGGCCTTTTAGCCTCGCACACGAAGCCAGCCATTACGGTGTCGTCTCTGAACGAAGAGGAAGAGGAGGAGAACACCCATATTCTCATGAACTCCGACGAGGTGTGTTCGTTGATGCAAAAAGAGCTCTCGACGGAAGGGGGAAAGTCTGAAAAAGGTCCTATCATGGAGCCAGGGATGGCTGAAATACAAAAAGAGCTCCAATCCGTCAGCGTGGGGACTTCCACATCAAAAGAAAAGGTGGTGAAGACTATTACCTCGCTGCTGCCCATCTCGCGTCCCCTCGCTGAAAAGATTTACAATACCTGGACGCTGCAGAACGATGGCAGGGCCAATCTGTTCAGCATCGCGGCGCCGTCGGACTACATCCTTGATGTGAAACTCATTGGCTTTGTGGAACTCTCCCCGCCAATCCTCAGTCCTAGCTCATCCTTGAAGGGTCCAAAGGACAAAGGGGCTGCCGAAGACGACAGTTCAAAGACACCAAGCGTTGCATACGGGGAGATTCATCTTTCCGCGGGTTCCAACAACCTTGACGCCTCTTTAGTGGAGCTGGATTGCACAAATGTCAGCAAGAATTCATCCCCTCATGAGTCTAATAAAGAGCCCGCGGTTCCTCGCGTTCGCGACATGTTTGATCGGCAACTCAGCTATTCGGATACCAACTTGGGTAAACGTCAAGAGCGGCCACTAACATCCCGACAAAGAAATCTTAACCTCGGCGCTAGGATCAAAAAGTTGTTCTCTTCACCTTTTTCGAAACGAAAAGACGCTGTTATGGTGGAAAACACAGCATCAAACGCCTCCGAGAGTAGTATGAGTGAAACCGAGCTAAATACATCTGCGGAGGGAACTATCATTTCTGTTAATGGAAACATATCCTCGACGATCCCTTCCACGGCATTGGCTTGTGTGTTTCTAACCTTGGAGGCGGTAGTTCCACCAAGTCGCTACACCAGCGACTATGACTGGTACTACAAGCGGATTGTCGGGTTCGAAAGCGAGTCTGAGCGTATCATGATAGCGCGTGTGCTTTCTCAAAGCAGCCCCACACTTTTTGTATCTTTTTTCGATTTTTTGAACCGTATGTTTGTGGGGAAGCAATTGCAGTTTGGGCTTAACAGGGCGGCTTGTAAAAAGATTGGTATTCCTGAGGATGCTTCAAAATACACGCCCGCGATGCAGAAGCTCATGTGTCTATATTTGGACAGCTCAAAGAAGTGGATTTTATCTGATTTGATTCCTCTTCATCCAACTAATTACAAGCTTTCATCTGCAAAATGAATGATCATACATGCATCAACTACTCTATGCAAATGTGCGAATATCATTTGATATTTTTACTTTTTTTTCGCTTTCACATGTGCGTGTATTCGATAAAATGGCTTCAGGATTTCTTTCTTTTCTGGAAACATTTGGAGGAATGTTCAGAAGGCTTTTCTGATCCTCTTAATTTCCCTTTTTTATGCATTTTGCTTTCTTTGTGCAAGTGGAGTAAGTAATACATTAAGAGAATTCAGCCATTGTGTTCCACTATCAGTATATCAAGATATTTGTTCAAGTAAGGAATAAAAAGCAAGAAGGAAAGATGATATACAGTGTTCTAAACTTTAAGTAGTTATGTATCGCTGGCGAGCAGCTAAACTAATAGGAATAATTTCTATTGTGTACATTGCAAGAAGAGGGTGATATTGTCGAGGGTTTTCATGGAAAGTAGAGGAATACTTTAAATATGTATTCTAATGAATTTAACATACTTCATCGACTGTTTTTAAATGTGGCCTTACTTTTTCGTTTATATACATATATACAGAGAGATTAAGGGTTCCTTATATAAAACACACTTGTTTGGATCTTCCCTTCCAGAGAAAAAGGATATGAGCAGCTGCAGGTGATGAAGCATCTTCAATCGTTACCCAACAAACTCGACCCCGCACGGGGCAGTAGTCTTGCACATGTCAAAAGTCTACAGCTCGCACGTGACGAAGAAGAAAAAATTCGTATGCGGCGCATCAAAGGGACCATCGTTCTCGTCGAGCAATTTTTAGTCGAGCAAGGATATATGAATAGTCTTCAAGCCCTTCAACAAGAAAGCGGGGTATCTTTGCAGCAGAACTGTGTTGCCGATAACATAGACCTGCTCGCCGTCGTTGCGGAGTTTGAGCAATTTTACGAGCTTAAATATCAACGCAAGCCTAGATTATTCCGCCCACAGGCTCAAGGCGGCACCGAGGATGTCCTTTCAAAGGAAAGGGGCGGCGAAAGGACGTTGGTGCGTAAGCTGGGCGCCCGCTTAAGTCCCTCATTAGGTGGTGCTATTGACAAGTCATCTCCATCACTAAGCCACAGTCATATTTTCAATAGTTCCAGTTCACGAAAAGTTGAGCCGCTTGAGCCGATCCCCATAACTAATCATTTAGCAGACGCAGGGGTTAAGAAGCCTTCGAGCAGTCGTAATGACATCAGTTCGGCACCACCAGCCTGCGAGCATGGGGACGCGGGAAAGGGCGACAAACATGGGGGTGGCATGATCGCCTTGAAAGGTCTCAAAATTCATCCTCATACGTTATTGCCCACAAACGGTCAAAAGCAGGCGGAGGTGGATGACACCTCCGAGGCATTTTACGGTCGTGCACTCAAACCCCTGCCTTTCTTTCCAACCAATGAGCTGACCGACCTGGCGCAGGTCATTATGCGGGATATACTCGACACCAACCCAGCCGTCCTTTGGTCCGATATCGCCGAGCTGGAGAATGCGAAGCATCTGCTAAAGGAGGCGGTGGTGATGCCCGTAAAGTATCCAGAGCTCTTCGAGGGAATTATGCGTCCCTGGAAAGGGATCTTTCTCTTTGGCCCCCCTGGTACGGGCAAGACGCTGCTCGCGAAGGCCGTCGCGACGGAGTGTCGGACCACTTTTTTCAACATCTCCGCGAGCACCGTCGTTTCCAAGTGGCGCGGCGACTCCGAAAAGCTGGTTCGCATGCTCTTTGAACTCGCCGTGCACTACGCGCCAAGCACCATTTTTATTGACGAAATCGACTCCCTTATCTCAACGCGCTCCTCTGAGGGGGAGCACGAGGGCTCGCGGCGCATGAAGACGGAGTTGCTGGTGCAGATGGATGGCCTGTCGAAGCGGCGTGGCGGTAACATCGTCTTTGTACTTGCGGCTAGTAACACCCCATGGGATCTGGATTCGGCGATACTGAGGCGCTTGGAGAAACGCATTTTGGTCCCGCTTCCGAGTCTGAAGGCGCGTGAGGAGATGTTTCATCGTCTTTTACACAAGAACGTTGTGGTAGCGTCTGGGAACACGGGTGCTGCCGTCAATTCCGCAGATGATTTTGATTGGAGCCGGTGCGCGCAGCTTACTGAGGGCATGTCCGGCGCGGATATTGATATCATCTGCCGAGAAGCCATGATGCGGCCGATTCGAAAGCTGTTGGCAAGGCTAGAAGGTATGAGCGCGTCGTCGTCTTCATCCTCGCACGCGTTGGATACTGCAAAAATCGAAAGACCCAAGGTATCGATAGAAGATGTCGAGGCGAGTATTGCCTGCACGTGCAGCAGTGTCAAATCCGGAGATTTGCGACGATATAATGAGTGGGCAAAAAAGCATGGATCCGACATGTCAGCCTAATTCATTTGCTTTGTATTCGAAAGTTAAGATTTTTGGGCACCTCCAATTTAACCTTCCGTTTATCGGAGTTTTTTATTTTAATGTCATTGACGACAACGCCGAGCATTTTGTCTACTGATGCCATAGAGCAATTCAATTGTAAATTTACCCATGAAAAAATGCGTTTAGAAGGGGCTAGAAAACATTGCATTACTTATTGATTTAGTGATTAAACCTTTTCTAATGCACAAAGCCAGATTCTAGACCCTCAAACGCAATTATTCAAAAGCAACAAATATGACACTTGAAAAGCATTTTTATTTCATTAGATGTAGGACAGATTGTACCTGCTTGTATGTCACTCATGCGTTTTCCTACTTTTTTCTTTTTCTTTTGCGAAGTTGCAAAACCCACTATCCTATATATATATATATAGATAGATATATATATACAGTCATACTCAGGATTTATTCTGAGAAAGAAAAAGGGGAAAAGACCGCGACGCTGCTTTCATTAGTGTTATTGCTTCGCTTTGAGTCTCGCTTTTGATCCACGCACTCCAAAGCTAAGTTTAGGCAATAGGGTAGCTCTCCCTCAGTTTGCAATTGGAGGAAGTTGCGGCTGATACTTACCCAATTTAATACAAATAGATAATAGTTGTTAGAAATTGAAAGATGCAAGATATCTTCACACCAGAGGGCAACACCTGCCCATCCATTGTGTTTGATTGCGGTGCCTACCATACCCGAGCGGGGTACGGGGGGAGCTTCAGTCCTCGTCTAGATATTCCCACACTAGTGGGCTACCCGCGGCACCGTGGCGTCGCGATGGCCGCTGGGATGAACGAACTCGAGGTGGGCGAATCTGCCTTATCGAAGCGTGGGATGCTTTCGGTCTGCCATCCGATCGAAGACGGCCTCATCACGAACTGGAATGCGATGGAAGGGTTCTGGAGTGATCTCCTTTACTCCCAGCTCCGAGCCACCCCGGAAAGTCACGCGTTTCTCACCACGCAGCCCGTTAACACCCCATCCAGCCAACGGGAGGGTGTGCTGGAGCTGCTGATGGAGACCTTTCACGTGCACTCGCTCTACCTGGGCACCTCTCAGGTGCTCAGTCTCTATGCCTATGGCCTCACAACAGGGGTGGTGGTGGATAGCGGGCTCGATCGAACCTTGGCGGTGCCGATCCACGAAGGTCATCCAATGGGGCGCCACGTTACGGAGAGCCGTGTTGCGGGTGCGCTTCTTACGAACTACCTCGGTAGCTTATTAAGGGATGAAGGCTATAGTCTAAGCACGGCGGTGGAGCGGACGCTGCTGAATCAGGCAAAGGAGGACCTCTGCTATGTCCGACGCCCACAGTGGCTGGATAAATGGGCGCAGGAGGCCCCCGAAACGGAAGCGTTCTCGAATGGAAACTTTGGTTCTTTTGATTACATTCAAAATAAGTCGGAGCCTGGACAAAGCTCGAGTAACGTTGAGATGGTTAGTGATGAGGTCGAGGAAATAGCGTTTGAGCTTCCAGATGGGCAGTCCATCCCTCTGCATCACCATCGGCATCGTACGCCCGAGGTTCTCTTTGACTTTTCCATACTTGAAGGCAAGAATTGGTTGGAAAACAAAAGCTCGCAGAGTCAAGCTGATGAAGATAATCGTCGCAAAGCAAATATGGGGGACCCATCGTGTATCCCGTTGGATAGCTATGAGCCCCCTTACAAAGTCCGAATTGAGCTTGGTGAATGGTTTACGCCATCGTTTCCAAAAGGCATCACGTGGCTTCCCTTCTCAGCGATCCACAAGTGCGACCAGTCCCTTCAGTCGCAGCTGTACGCCAACATTGTTCTGGCGGGTAATACACTCAACTTTCCAGGTACACGTGACCGCATGAAAGAGGAGATCATCCAACTATATCGTGAGAAGCACTCTAGTGAGGCAGTGTTGCCGATAGATATTAAAGATATGAATTGCCGAGGCTATAGTGCGTGGTTAGGGGCATCGATTCTATCTCAGATGAGCATGTTTCCGCACATGTCCATTACAAGAAAGGAATATGAAGAAAACGGGCTGCGAGTCGTACACTATAAGTGCTAAGAAATAGGGCCCGATAAGCCGTAAAGGGATATGAAAAGGGCACAGATCAAGTTCAGGCATATGTCGTAATGAAACTTTTTCCTCTGAAAGGAAAATCTATTGATGATTTCCGTCCTCGGGGTTCACAGTAGATGGTTTTTGGTTTTGGTAGGTTATGTTATTGTCATCATTATTTCCTCAATGTAAACTAGCAGTAGACTGAATCGAACGAAATGGGTCTGAAAGGGAAACTCAGAAGGGAGGGGCGGACACGTAATCAAAGTGAAATGACAAGCTTAGAAGCTGTCACGCCAGCTCCTCCTTGAGCAACGTCTTTATGCATAGATCCATACTTGTTACGCGCTGAGTTCTACACGAACATATATATATATATATACATATATATATATATACCTATATATTTGAACTTTGGTGAACTATGGTTTTATAGGTGTTCCTTTTCACTTTTTCATCTTGCTTTTTTCCTCCGTTTCGTTTCTCGAAAAAATGCCTTTATTTTACCGATTTTTTTTTATAGTGCATACAAAAGAAATGAAGTCTGGATTGTTCAATCGTGACGCGATCACTAAGGAATGTCCTGAGGGGTACATTAAAATATGTGAAGGTACCACGGCAGTACTCCTTGCCCCAACCATGCCAGCGGATGCCAGTAAAACCAGCGTGGATGCCACCCACCAGGGCAACGAGAGACACTTTTCCAAGACAACCTCAGCACAGCTAAGGTCCGATAATCACAATGCCGAACACGGCAACGAGGATCAGTCAGTCTTTTATAATCCAGCCCAGGTCGTCAATCGGGACCTCAGCGTCTGCGCCATCGAGACGTTTTCGCAAATTCGACTGCGTGAACCCCGGAGGCGCGGCGGCGTGTCGGCTGGCCTCACGATTCTTGAGGCTCTAAGCGCAACTGGGTTACGGGCGATTCGCTACTACAAGGAAATATCCAACATTCGCTACATCATCGCGAACGACTTGGATGCGGGTGCGGTCGAGTGCATTGCGCGGAATTGCGCCTACAACAACGTCCCGCTTGCGCAGCCGACCTTGGATGAAAACTTCCCCTCCTCTTTAGTGACGGTATCACTGCCTAGTAACGCGGAAAATGAAGGCATGGGTCGCATTCCGGGAGAGATCACATCCGGTGGTGGGATTGTTCCTAACTTGGATGATGCGGTCGACCTGATGCATCGTCTGGCGCTCAATCCCGGCGTGCATTCTGGCAAACGTTTCTGCTTATTAGAAAAAAAGCCCGCAGTGGTGGATGGTGGCGGCATGCCCTCTGAGGAATGGGGCGCCCCCAGGCCGGTTCTACAGCAGGAGTTGATGGATGTCGTGGATCTCGATCCTTACGGTACGGCTTCACCCTTTCTCGACGCCGCGTTTGGGTGCATCAAGGAAGGTGGGCTGATGCTGGTAACGAGCACGGATAGCGCCATTTTGTGTGGAAACTACCCAGGCACCTGCCATGCGAAGTACGACTCGATTCCCTACAAGTCTGCTCATTGCCACGAGATGGCGGTTCGGATTCTCCTCGCGTGTATGGAGCGCGCGGCGAACAAGCATAAAAAGTACATCGCGCCTTTGCTGAGCCTCCATATCGATTTCTATGTCCGCTGCTTCGTGCGAGTCTTCACGCAGCCCGCGGAGGTTAAGTTGAGCGCATCCAAGCTCGGCTATCAGCTCCAATGCACGAACTGCCCGGCCTTTTGGGTGCGACCGATCGCGGTGGCGCGCGGGCCGCGTCCGCCTCGCCGCGGGAAAAAGCGCCCTCGCGAACCCAATCAACCCCAACCGCCCTTTTCCGACGCATCAAATGAGGAAAGGATGAAACCCAATTCCCCAGACGCGTCGCTGGAGGAGACGAAAGCAGGGGTTCCCTCCATTGAGGACTCGGACATGGTGCGGTGGGAGCCCGAGATCTTCCCTCCCGCGCCGTCTCGGACGAACGATCCGAAACTGACGGCTCTCACCTTACAGATGCTACCCCAGCTGGTTTGTCAGGATTCCAAACGCGGCAGCGCGGAGCAGGGCTCTCCGGCTGATCCGGGTTCTAAAGCTGCAGGGGGCCTCAGAGTCAAACCCACCGATGCCGTTGGAAATCCCCCCCTTCCACCTCGCGTCTCCGACGACCTCCATGGAAGCGGTTGCGGGGTGTCGAAAGGGGATTTTTGCCCGGTTTGTGGCTCCTCCATCGCCCTTTCCGGGCCGATTTACGCCGCTCCAACGCAAAACGGTGACTTCTTAACCGACCTCATGCAAACCGTCCAAAGTCGCGCGGAGGAGGGGAAAATCACAGCCGCGGCGCGCATCACCGGGCTCGTGCAGGTCGCCCTTGAGGAGCTTCCACAGTGTCCGCTTTTTTATCGCCTTCCGGATCTCGCGTCGTACGTGAAGACGCGTTGCCCGCCGACGCCGTTGTTTGTTGCGGCGTTGGCGCGTTTGGGGTATAGTTGCAGCCAAGTGCACTGCGAGCCTTCAGGGATTAAAACGGATTGCCCACCCCCCATCCTCTTCGCCGTGATGCTTCGATGGAAGCAACTTTCCGAGGGCAACCCCGCTGAATCGGAAGAGGAGTCGAAAGCCTCCGATGCTATGGAAGAGTCTGCGAGTGCCCCACGCAAACCACGAGGCGATGATTTGGGTGGAGGGGTTCCTAAAATCTTAGTTTCTCCTTTAAAGAGCGCGGACTTTAGCTACGACCGGCAGCACGATTTTCGACGTCAAGTGACCGGTCTCGCGAAGTTTATTCCGAATGCCCCTGGGTGGGGACCGAAGCGTCGGCACCAAGGCACCGCACCCATCGCTAGTGAAGAATTCTGATGCTAGTCCACTAATTAAAGAAATAAGAACAAAAAAGATATGAATCCCTTTCTCACATGTTCATCTATACACTACGAGAAACCAACCGTAGGAGAGGTGAGGAGATATTGTACAGATGAGGAGGGGGGGGGGGGATGTCAGCACCAACCTCACCATAGAATCACCAATATATTTTATTTCTACCCTCCTGGGCTTTTCGCTTAAGCTGTTCCCTTACACATAAACCCTGATGCAGCTACTATAATTATTGGTGTCTGAGTATTTATCTATTTTTTTATAAGTAAATCACTAAAGAAAGGGACTGCAATCTTCAAAAAAAAAAGAACTTGGCCGTGTCTAGAACTGTTGCTTAGCTAATGCGAACGAGCACCTTGCGATGCACTCTTTTCGATGCCTGTTATGTGATCAACCTAGACCGTCGCCCCGATCGCTGGGCGCACATTTCATCCGAAATTCGGAAGCGCCGTTTGAGCAAATTTTTCCAACCAGGCGTCTCCGTCACCCGGGTGAGCGGGATTGACGGCTCCTCGTTAGACGTGGCGGAGCTGCATGCCTCCGGTGCGATCACGGAGCTTGGGTATCAGCGCTTTTTACTTCCCGTGGAGGAAAAACTCTTCGGGATGGATCTCACGCCCGGCGCGGTCGGCTGCGCGCTCAGTCATCGCGCGGTCTGGGAAAAGGTCGTGGCGGCGAAGCAGACGGCCGCGCTCATCCTGGAGGATGATGCGGAGTTCAACCCCAAGTTACCCCGGCAGTTGGCGGAGCTCTGGGGGAGGATTCCGGCGGATTGGGGGGTTGTTTACCTCGGGGGGTTGGATTTACTCGCGCAGGGAAAACCCCCTCGTCCGTTCATCGCGGAGGGTATTCGTCGGGCGTATCAGGGGCATCGTGAGCTCACCGCCTACGTGGTGCACGAGAAGTCGGCGCAGCGCTGCCTGGAGCTCTCCCGCGCGATGACGTGGCAAATTGATACCCACATCACGAGTGAAACGAAGGATGAGTCGGCGAGCAAGGATGCGTTCATTGCGGATCCCATGTCGTATGTGTTTCAGCCCGCGATGGCGATTCAGGTGACCTCGTTCGGCACTGATGCGCAGAAGAAGCCTTCGGATAGCCCGGCATTGGAAGATGCCTCGCGGCGAATGCGAGAATTTGTTGAATGCGGTACTTCTCTTCGCTGAACGAAGTAACGGCCTCTAAGGAATGAAAGGTGCAAATCAAATATTAAAAAAGGAAAAGAAACCCAAATATTTGCATTTAAGCTCCGGTTGCGGAGCTCGTTGGTGCACTTTCATTAAAATCGTTTTATTCCATATTCCTCGTCGCTCGAGTCTGGTATGGGGAAAGGGAATAGATGAGGGGAGGGGTAAGAAGGTGCTCAATGAGTGAATCCTGGTGGAGCTGATTTCGTTTTTGTTTTACCTAGGTCCCTCTTCAAGTGTGTGTTACCTTGTTTCAATCATTCTTCTCAACTGTTTGATTTGTCTTAGGGAAGCTTTGGCGAGAGCCAGCCGGCGAACTAACATAAAAAACGGACCGGAGGTCATTTATAAAAATAAGAAAAATAAAAAAACCACCATTTGGAGATGGTTGGTAGGGAATCTAGCTCGGAAAACCCACCAGTGCAGGATGCCGAGGTTACTCACACGATTTCAGACGTCTTAGCGAGTGAGAGTTCCTTGCATATTTATCTTCCGGCGAACCATAGCCTCCCCACGCTCCACGCGAAGGAGCCAAATCCGACGCTGGTTCACCCCCAAGACCCCTCCACGACGTATTCCACGGTGGTCGTGCAGATGCCGAGTGATATTGAAAAAAACGCGAACCCGTCGTCGAACCATTCTCGACAGGTGTCGATTAGGTCGCCCGATTCCGCCGCGGTGGATCCGCCTCGGATGGGGGCGCCCGTCGTGGTGAACAACCGCCGTCGTCCGCCCGCCTCGATCGGGGCGGGGAAATCGAAAAAAGGCGTGGATGAGGTGGATGACTTGTTAGCCTCCGCAACGAGGATTCTCCGACGTCGACTTTGGGGGGATTTGCACCTCCAGACGGCGAGGTCGACCCCGAGCGCGCCTCCCTCCGGCGGGCATCCCGGCTCGTCGGATCTCCACGCGAACTCCTTCGGCGATGCGGAAAGGCCCGGGGAGGGGGCGCACGCGAAGACGGCGCATGAATCGCCTTCCTCCGGGAAGGTGGAATCCCCCGCATCCGTGGACGATCGCGTAACGCCGCAAACGATGCAGGCCCTGCTGCGGAATTGTTTCCAAGTCATCTCGCAGCCCCCACGACGGCCGAAGCCGCCGTCGTCCGCCAGCTCCTTTATTTCCAAACGGGTGCGGTTGAAAAATCGCAATTCCGCGGCGATCGCGGTGCTCGATGAGGATAAATTCAAAGCCCTCGAGGAGGTCCTCCCTGCGGAGCCCCCGAGCGGGGTAAAATATTCCGTGGAAGGGAAAAAACCGGAGGCCGCCGCTGCGGTTTCGGAGGCCCCGCCCGAGACTGCCCCCCCTCCAAGGCGAAATTCGTTGATGCGGTTTATCAATCATCTGCTTTCACCGCCAGGCAGCCCGGGTCGAATGCGGACGTCGCCGAGGTCGAGCCCGGAGCACTCGGGCTCCTCTCTACCCCCGCTGAAGGTGCATTCTGGAGGGGAGGTCGGGGCGGGGCCTTCCAACACGCATGAATCCGCGACTTTCGTCGGGGAAGAGGGGGGATCCCACCCGATCCCCGCCGCCGCGGGGTCGGCGTCCGCGATTAACTTCGGAATTACCAAAACGATGATGAACAAAAACGACTCCGCGCTGGTGGAACGGCTGGTGAAGCAATATTTTCAAACCCTCCTCAAGGCGAACACGCGTGCGAAGCGGGAGACCCCTCTCACCGAAATCAACCTCGCGAAGCTTCCCTATCGGCCGATTCCCGTGCAGGGCATCTTGAAATCCTCCGGAGCCTCGCGCGGGGTGGGGGAAAGGTCGATGGAGAAACCGCCGCCAAGAGAAGGGGAGGAAAGCCATGAGGCCGCCTCCCTCGCGGATGAACCCCGCGGCGATTGTTTAGGCGCGATGGAGGGGTCGCCGTTTTCGTTTCTCCAGGCCATCCTTGCCGTCTCGCGGGAGTTCGAGCGGATCTCGCACGACCGCGCGCTCGCCCCGGCGTCGACGCGGGATGCCGGGATCGCCGCGCAGAATCGCCGCGACGTCCTGCGGCGTCTCACCAGCCTCGAGAGCACGCGGATCCCGGAGCAATTTTGGGTGGTTTCGCATCGTTTGCTTCACTTCCCCCCTACCCACCCCACCCTGGCGGGGTCGATCAAAGCCTCGTCGGATCCCCAACCGCCTTTGACGACCCCCCCCCCAGGCGCGTCGAGGGCCCGCGAGGAGGGCGGCAACGGCGTTAAGGAGGCCGCCCATCGAACCCCTCATTTTATCCACGTGGGTGGGGTGAAACCCGGGGTCGTTTCCCGTGGCGTGGACGACGACCCCGCTTGCGAGACGCATCGTGCGTCGTCCTCGGAGGCGGCGATGTCGAGGAATAGGGATCCCCCTCCCACCTCCTACGATCATTACATGTGTCGAACGGATGAGAGCGTGGTGGCTTTGAACTCCAGCGAGACGTCGGTGCTGATAAACAAAAATGAAATTTTCTTTCCAGCGTCGAGGCCGACCGGGCGGGCTCAGGTCTACCTCCTCGCCGAGGCCTTGGATAAGATGCTCCTGCTCCGTCCGGAGTGGCTTTCCGATTTGACAAACCCTGAGACGCTGCAGCTCATTTTGCCCCCTTTTAACCTCGAAGCGCACGATCGGGAGGCCCCATCGGACGCGCACACCACCGCCCGGGAGCTTTTCCAGGCGAAATCGAATCCCTCACCGGACTTTGAGCTTGCGGAGAAATCCGAGGTGCGGTTTGAAAACTACACCCATGCATCCGTCGGGGTGGTTCGCGTGATGGATGTGGGGTTGACGGAATTGGTTCGCCAAGTGTCGTGTGAGTGTGTCGAGCGCGGTGCGTTGCTCGACGCCCTTCGGCAAACCCTCATCGACATCACCGAAAGCCACGTGCGGGTCCTCGAGCACGCGAAAAGTCGCGTGTTCCGTGAAGCCCAGGCGCGGATGGTGTTGCAAAGCCGTTTGGATATGCTCAAAGAAGAGCTCCAACGCACCCAGACGCAGCTCGCGGATAAAGAGACCGAATGCGCGAAGCTGCGGGAGGAGAACGAAATTTTGTCGAAAAAGGCGAAGCATCTGGACGATTTGGTGTCGCGTGTGGAGATCCAACGCCAGAGCTTCAAGGGGGTCACCGACGAGGAGGCGCATCGGCTGTTATTGAGCGAGCTTGAACGGGATATCGCGAAGACGGCCACGAAGACGTTCCAAATTCTCTACAATGAGAACAAACGGCTCGCGGCGCTGTGGAAGGATGACCAAGAGGACGCCAAGGAGACCGAGGTGAGCGAGTTTTCCGCGCTGGAGGAGACCCGCAGGCGTGCGCACGAGGACACCAAAGCGATGGAAGACATCTACGAGAACTCCTTCAAACTTTTGAGCGCCCTCCACGAGGTGACCGACTCCGTCGACGCGGTTTGTGAGCCTTTTTACGGCAAAATGATGCTCAGCCGGGTTTCCGCGAAGGGCTCGCCGGCGACCTCGCGTTGGATGACGGTGGCGCGTGCGATTGGGGAGTACGAGCGAACCAAAGCGCATCGATATCGCGTCTTCGCCGTCTTCTCCGAGTGGTGTGTGCGGTACCATAAACAAAACCCGCCGGAGTCCGGCGAGGCCGCCGTTCCGGATCCCAAGCCCGCCCTTCCGCGGACGGGGTCCGCGGAGCACACCGAGGAGTACGCCTTTGTGGACGTGTTAAACCAACTCGCGGATGTCCTCAACGCGCATGGGGATTCCATGAACTGGGATCCCACCTATGTCGAGCCCGCGGCGACGAATCCGCCGCACCCCACGACGAGTGCGTCGTTACGGGTGGGCAGCAGTGAAACG